CAAAGGGAGATCCTGCTGCTGTTGCAGAGCAGGAGCAGATGCCACGTGGGGCAGTGGGGTTCTGACCCCTGCGAGGGTCTGTGAGTGTTGTCGTGGCTCACACGAGCGTCTCGCTGGGTTTAGGCACTGGTGGCTCTCAGTGGAGTAACTTCAAGCAAATGTAAAGGATCCTCCATGCTAGAGGAGAGATTCCTTCTGACAGCTTGTGACAGAGGAAGATTTGCTGGTCAGGGAAGACTGGCATAGTAGGCTCTTGACTTTGATGCTAGAAAGAAGTAATTAAGATGGAGCAGCCGAGCAGGGTCAGGGATTTGTATCTAAGAAACTTAATACTGTTTGTTCGACTTCGTGGGGGTTGGAAGAGGTAGGTGATGCTTTGGTGGTGGACCTCTTCATGATCTTTGGGCCTGCTGCTTGTGCATCTGGATTTCTGGTGGCTTCTGGTCTCTGCTGCACAGGAGCATGATGTGCCTCTGAGCGGCTCTTGGCAGAAGGGTTTCAGTTCCAAAAGCAAAAGTGAAGGTTAATGGGTAGTTGCTGCTGAAAGCGGTGACCCTGCTGACCTCCCCACCCTCACCCTCTCCCTTGACAAGATGAACAGAGGCTATTCCCTGAGTTATTACAGCATAATAAGCACCAATGCAGGAGTTGAGGGAGAAGGCAGGACCTTTGCTGAGAGGTGAGCCCATCCTGTGCAGGAGCAGCTTGCTGTAAGAGAGCAGATCATCTCAAACCCTGTAGTGTTCATACCTGGGCTCCCAGTGTGGTGTCCTTGAGGCTTAGTCTTACCTCTGAATGCTGTGTCTGCTGGTGCACCTTGGGGTGGACGAGCAAAATGATTCTGCTCTTCTGAAAGCCTCACTGTGGTAATGAAGTCAAATGTTTGCAAGTTGCAAGTAGAAAATGGGGACAAGTTAATAGCTTAAAACCTCTTCCAGCTTCAGAGTATGTAACAGAGCATCTTAGATGCAAGATGCATTTGATTGTGGCTGGTGTAGGTCCTGAGTCACTGAGAGTGCATTAACAAAGCTGTTCTCTTCTGGTTTCTCCCTGGACATGCAGTCACTCGGGGGGAAGGTTAATAATGTGTCCTGTAGAAGCGTAGGGTACTTTTGGGGGGCTCCTGGAGGAACAACTAAGTCAGTAGTCTTAGTGGCTCTGTGTGAGCTTCTGTATGCTGATCGTTGAAGAGCTGTTGGATTTACAAGTTGGACACTGTGAGCTGGTGCTTTCTGCTATAAATGTTGATGCATATTTTAAGAGTTTTCTGTAGTAATCTCGTACAGCAACTATTGTCGCTGAATAACTCCACAAGCTACAGATTGAGCATGAGTTGCCTCTTGTGTCCCCCCCTTACCTTTGATATTCATTCTTTCTCCTCTGAGCCTGATCCAGTGCAGTAGCCATGAACCTCTCCATGTAAACAAACCCTGTGTGTGCTGAGGCTGCTGTCACGTAAGGGTGAAGAGCGGTCAGGATTTGCTCTGGCTCCCACTGATCTTGGTGGGAATTGGGGCTGGACTTGTGGAATATGCTTGGGTGCCACTGTGGGTGTGGAACTAGTGTTTTCACACAGGCTGTTGTAGTCTTATGTTCAACCATATATCTGTCATGGTTCCACGTGGTTAAATCATGGTAAAATGATACAAAAGGTTCTGCTTTTGTTCCTATTCTCTTTCTAATTACAAGTATAACGTACATATATGATGTTTGTCCCTTTACTTGTTTTCTACAGCTTAATCTAGTAGTAGTGAATCACCTCTTCTAGTCCTAACCTTGTGTTGGTTCACATCTTTTCACAACTATCTCAGTATCTGGTAGTGTTACAGCTCAAATCTCTTCATCTTTTATCAAGACTAATTAGTGCCTTAGAAACAATCAGTGGTTTTACTCGCTGCAAACCCCATTTGTGGCTTTAAACAAGATAAGTCAATGAGAGAAGAATGCTGTCAGAGTATACCCCAGAGCCTTCTAATGTTCTCAGGTGGAGTCAGCTTTGTTGTGGTGGTGTCTTTTTCTTGCTCTCACTTCCTGATCACCTGATTTCTTTTCCTCACTCTCTTTTGTCTTCAGACATGGCATGTTTCATCTTAACTTCTCACTACGTTAAAAGGACTTCAAAACCTGCTGCTTCTTTTGCCTTTGTCACTTCCAGAGCTCTGTTTCCTCCATGTGTGTAGTTCCCCATTTGAGGAATCTCTTGATTCCAGGACTCTCCTTTTGCTTGCTGTGTTCAGATCAATAAGCTTTCCTAGTCCTAATAGCAATGGGCTGAATGCTGCATCTGTTGCTCTTCTATTGTGCTTCCCATTAGCTGCCTAGAATAGAAGTGCATGGCCTGATAGAACGTACTGCTCGGTTCTCCCACCTCTGTGGCTGCAGAGCAGGGCCACAGCTATTGATTTCTGAGCTTCTCTCACTAATACTGCATGCTGCAAACAGACAAAATGTGAGACTTGAGTTTGTCTGCTGTGGGACTTGCCTGGTGCGGGGGAAGTACAGCACTAGAAGATGTTACGTGGCAGTGAGCTCTTTGAGTAGTACCACAGTTACACCTGGTTATGGTTCAAACTTCCCTGAGCTGCTCAGGGTTAATCTGAGCAATGTGCAGTAGCACAAGATGCCTTGTAAAACTAAAGCATCTGTCTTGGGCATCTGGCTCTGCATGTTTGCCAGTTTTCAAACGGTTACTGGAGTCAGAAGTATCCTTGTATCAAAGGAGAGCTGCTGTTCAGACTTTCACTTTCTCTTTCCTTAAGGAACCCTGAGGACCTTGCAATATGAATAATTCTCTGGAGAACACCATTTCTTTTGAAGAATATATCCGCGTGAAGGCACGAACGATCCCCCAGCACAGGATGAAGGAGTTCCTGGACTCCCTTGCTTCCAAGGGCCCAGAAGCTCTGCAGGAGTTCCAGCAGACAGCCACCACCACCATGGTGTATCAGCAGGGTGGCAACTGCATTTACACGGACAGCACAGAGGTGGCTGGGTCTTTGCTTGAACTTGCTTGTCCTGTGACAACCAGTGTCCAGCAGCAAACTCAGCCAGAGCAGCAGATACAGGTTCAGCAACCCCAGCAAGTCCAGGTAAGCATCTTAAATCTTATCTAAATGTATGTATGACTAACTTGCTAAGCCTTGGAGTAGTGTTCAGAGCCAGCTACTGCCTAACCTGAAACCACAGGCAAGCACTTGCAAAGCAAGGCCCATTAACTTTATATAGAACAGCACTATTTCCCTTTCATTTAAGGAATCTGGTAGTAAATGTCTCTCTTGCCTGTGCCTCCATTGAGCCCTGTTGCAGGAGGAGCAGCACACATAGCAATGTGGTGGTGTAACCTGATGGAGACATGGTTGACAGTTCTGGCATGAACACAGCTCCCCAATGTCTTGTGTGCTGTGTGAAGCTGCTATAAATACCACCTCCCTCTGCTGGTGTTCCTCTGGTTACTCAGGGTGGCTGTGGGCTCTCAGTCCTTTCTTTAATGGAATCAGTGATCTTTAGCTGGTTTTTCTTGAATATTAAAACTTGCAGTTTCTGAACTGGGCTGTAAGAGAGGGGAGATGGAGGGGAGTGAAGCGATGGTATGAACCAGGGGAAGATCTCTCTCAGGCAAGGAGCTTTTAAAAGATGCATGTGTGTCAAGGTACATGATCCTTTTGCACAGGGAAAGGAGGCTTCTCCATTGTTTGTTTTATTTAATGTGTATTACAGTAATTTTTATTAAGTATTAAATAAGCAAATCCAGCACCAGAGGTGGAAACAAACTCAACCCCGAACATATAACTTTGGTCCTCAAACACAGTTTGTAACTTGAAGCGTTCAGAGGTGGCAGGGCATTTACTAAGGGTTTCTTATGTCTCCAAACAACTGAAATCAGACAGCTTTGATTCTGCTCCACTTCAGATAGAAATCTTTCTGCTTTCTGTAACATGAATGTAAAGTTGTGAGCTCTCTTTTTTTGCAACAAATGAGGGTATGGAGCCACAAATGAGTAGAGATAAGGTACTGTGGATGTGCTGCAGTTCAGCAGACCTATGCTAGCAGCTGGCTTGTGTGCTTTTATCCTACAGCAAAGACAAACTTATGTCTTTCACTGGGCAGCTCATCTCCAATTACTCTCTCTATTGAGTAAATGAATGCTTAACAGGGACTTCTGTAACCTGTTGCCCTACAGTAACATGTGTTGCAAGGCTTTTGAAGGATAAAAGCCTCTACAGTCTCACAGACAGGGCTTGGATCTCTGTGTGGGTCTGTTCAGACTGATCAGGGGTGGGTTTGGTTCTGCCATGTAGCACGTTTTGGGGAAGAGGCTTCATTTTCTAGTAGAAGAACTAAAAGAGTTGACTTTTGGGTGCCTCAGCCTTGAAGATGTGGAGGATCCCCAAACCAGTTGTTGAAGTCAGAAGGAATCTATTGTCCCTTCCCCTGCTGCTGCCTCCTTTCAAAACTACTCAAGGTTCAGGCTTGACCCTTGCAGGTCTTGTAGTAACAGAGACAGGGAGGGAGGTCACATATCAAATGCTCCAGAGAAAAACAATCTCCTGACCTCCTTGAAAATAACTGTGGAGTTGCTGCCAGGGACCTGTTCCTGGTTCCAAACTGAATGGCCTCACCCTGCATGTGAAAAATACCTGGTAGAAGTCAGGATTTCAGCCACATTCCTGAAGAACCTTCTCTGTTCTCCCCACCTTGTTTTTGATGTGAGTCTGCTTTAAATTACCTGTGTTCTCATCTGTCAGCACAGCTCAGAGTTAGTGTTTGTGTTGCTTTCCTTGCTGCTCACTTGGGGACGTTATAGCCCCCCCCAGAACACTGAGGTGGCAGAGCTGGTACGAGATACTGCTGCAGCTTTAGTGTGCAGCTGAATTTACATGGTTTTGAGCAGCTAACTCAGACATAAAGGTTTTTGATAAGGATGGGGTGGAGAGAAATGTCTTTCCCCCTTTGCACAGATGTTTTTCTGTCTTTCAGGATCTCTTGCTGAGATGTGATTTATGTTAAAGTCATGATTTAGTGCTCACCTGTCTCGAGTGTCACTGTGGCAGCAGTAGCAGAGCTGAGTTTTGTGGTGACTCTGGGGGTGACAGTGTCCCATTAGAAGCAGGGCACCTGATCCAGCTGCTTCCCTTTGATGAAATACGACTTGTGTTTTATTGTGAGCAATTTTGGTCATCCACTGAAGCCAAATTTATGTCATTCCCAGTACTTGACTTGATAATCTCTTTAATTCTTGCTAATCCAATTGCAAATGAGTGGAAGACCCTTTGAATGACTCTTTATATCTGGCAGTGTGACAGTGGGGCTGAAGGTGACTAATAATATGACCAGGCAGGTGACCTCACGGGTGAAGTGCTGATGACAACTGTACCATCATAAAGATAGGCAGTGCTCAAGTTTCATGCTAGATGTTACTTGCTGTGAACAACCAAAGACACTGTGTGACTGTTGACTGCTTTTATTTATCCTGGCAAAACATATTTCCTGTTGGAAGAAGTTGCCACCTTAGGGTTTTCCTGCTTAAAAGGTTCAACAAACTGTTGCTAAATGTTTATTTTAAAGGCTGAGTGGATGCAACTGTTGGGTTATAGACTTACACAGTGCTGCAGTGCAAGTGTCTTGGAGCTCCTTCCATGCCCAATATTGCAATGGTGCTGTTTGAAGGAGTTCAGTATGTCAAGCTGTCATTCCCTGTGCTGCATCAGGGGGTGGCTGGCAAGGGCTGTGTTTTGCTCCAGTCAAGTAAGAGTTTTGTTAGCTCTGCCTTTTGGTGGGAATGTTGTTGATTGGGCTTGTGCGTTGAGGCCATCGAATTGATGGTGCCAGTGAGAAGAGGTGTTAGTACTGACTTGCTTACTGAATGCAGTAGTCCTGCAGAGGTCAGTGAACCTCTTGTGCCTCTTCTGCAAGAAAACAACTGAAAGAGTAACAGAGGAAACTGAAAACTGAAAGAGTATCAGAGAACAGAAAGTCCTTAGGACACCTCCAGTGCATGTGGGAAGAGCCTCAGTTTCAGTTGTTTCTTAAGGCAAGAGTCTGGTGGTAGGTGGCTGGAGCTTGTCAGACAGGGCTTGAGGAGAAGACAGTAAAGGTGAACAAGATCACAGAACTGTGTAGGGGATGGTTAAATGCTGGTGTAAAATGCCTTGCAGTTAAGGCTTAGACCTTTAATCGCTTAGTTCCTTGTGTTTTTACTGTTGGGCTGCTTCAGTCCTCTCCCAGCCTATTCTGTGGCTTCAGACCATTGTTAATGACATAAAGTAGGGGAAGAAGCACCTACATAGGT